AAAAAAAAAACTTTGCATGGTGCCTTTAATTGGTCATATCAAATCATGGAAAAAGTTTGGGGTCATTTGACGGATGACAAAAAAACATGCTCCCAAATGGAGCCTTCAAATGTGGTGGTGATCAGCACAACATCAAGCACAACTGACAACAGATCAAAGAGGCAAGCACCGACATCAAACAAAACAAGCAACCAAATGAGATCAAACAAAGGAAGCAACGAAAATGACAGCAAACTACTTAGATTAACAGCAGGGGCATCCTCCTTCCCTGCTCCATGCCAAGGTGCTACTCCTGGTCAAAATATTAACAAGTTCACAACACAAGTATCATAAGTTCTAGCCACAAACCATAACAAGTTCAACACTAACACCTAAGTTAACTATATTGCATGCTCAATGTCACCAACGCAGTTGTGCTTGCTGCAACAAAATCTGCACATGATCGAGGAGTCATGGTACCTTCAGGCCGAGTCCTGAGATGCGCACAACGAGGAGGTCGCCGGGGATGATCCGGTGGTGGTGGGAGAAGTAGTTCCAACCCCGGCCAAGCACCGTGTGCCCCTCGAAGTTCTGGACCTGCATCAAGAACTCGCACCACTTGTTCGCCGACAGCCTGTCCACGCGCGGGAGCCGCTTGATGACTAGCCACTCCTTCATCACCTCCACGAACTTGCGAGGGATGGCAAGCATGGCGAGGTCTTCGGCGTCCTTGATCTCCTGGTAGAAGTGCAACAGCTCCCGGGCCCCCTCCTCGTGGCCGGTCCTTGATGATTGTCCCCTTGAACGAGGCAGGCTCATGAAGGCGACCCTGCCAAGTAGGTCCACCCTCTTGAGCCACCTGTTCGTGGGGATGAGATCATCGGCGCCCTCAGCTCCGGCCACCACCTGAGCTCCTCCACCTGCCACATCCCAGTCACTCTTCAATATCTTGTCAGGTAAGATGACAAGTATTAGACATGCTTGCAAAATGAACAACCACTGATCAGTGGAATTAGCTCTTTTGCAAATGGCACTGATCAGTTACACTAGCACTACATCAAATGGCACTGATCAGAGACATTTGCCCAAGAGCAAATGCCACTGATCAGTGCACAAACTCTTTGCCAAATGGCACTTATCAATGTCACTTGCTCTTAGGCAAATGCCATTGATCAGTGCCATTTGCTCTTGGGAAAGTGTCACTGATCAGGGGTCTTCCCCAAGAGCAAGTGGCATTGATCAGTGGTAGTTGCCCATGAGCAAATGCCACTGATCAGTGGCATCTGGTCTTCTGCAACTGCTGTTGGGGAACGTAGCAGAAATTTAAAATTTTCCTACGTGTCACCAAGATCTATCTATGGAGAGACTAGCAACGAAGGGAAGGAGAGTGCATCTACATACCCTTGTAGATCGCTAAGCGAAAGCGTTCAAGAGAACGGGGTTGATGGAGTCGTACTCGTCGTGATCCAAATCACCGGAGATCCTAGTGCCGAACGGACGGCACCTCCGCGTTCAACACACGTACAACCCGGTGACGTCTTGCATGCCTTGATCCAGCAAGGATACATGGAGAGGTTGAGGAAGACTCCATCCAGCAGCAGCACAATGGCGTGGTGGTGGTGGAGGAGCGTGGCTATCCTGCAGGGCTTCGCCAAGCACCACAGGAGAGGAGGAAGAAGAGATGCATGGCTGCACCAACGAGAGATCGAATCGCGTGTTATGGGCAGCCCCAGGCCTCACTATATATAGGGGAGAGGGAGGAGGGTGCGCCCCCTCTAGGGTTCCCACCCCTAGAGGGGCGGCAACCCTAGATGGGCCTTGGGGTGGCGGCCAAGGGAGGATTCCCTCCCCCCAAGGCACCTAGGAGGTGCCTTCCCCTCCTAGGACTCTTCCTTTTAGGGTTTCCCCCACACTAGGCGCATGGGCCCTAGGGGAAAGTGGCGCCCCAGCCCACTTTGGGCTGGATCCCTTCCCACTTCAGCCCATGGGACCCTCCGGGATAGGTGGCCCCACCCAGTGGACCCCCGGGACCCTTCCGGTGGTCCCGGTACAATACCGGTGACCCTGAAACTTGTCCCGATGGCCGAAGTAGCACTTCCTATATATAATTCTTTACCTCCGGACCATTGCGGAACTCCTCGTGACGTCCGGGATCTCATCCGGGACTCCGAACAACATTCGGTAACCACATACAAACTTCCTTTATAACCCTAGCGTCATCGAACCTTAAGTGTGTAGACCCTACGGGTTCGGGAGACATGCAGACATGACCGAGATGACTCTCCGGTCAATAACCAACAGCGGAATCTGGATACCCATGTTGGCTCCCACATGTTCCACGATGATCTCATCGGATGAACCACGATGTCAAGGACTTAATCAATCCCGTATACAATTCCCTTTGTCTAGCGGTATTGTACTTGCCCGAGATTCGAT